GGTTTATTAATATTTAAATAGCATGGTTGAATGACTGAACTGAAATGTTGCTATTGGATGATTCGTTCATTAAATTGAAATACAATGTGTTCATTGACCGTGCACCGTGCACAAAACTGCATAAACGCGAACAAAAAGATAGAACAAAGACTTTAGCGGAGTTCCCAAACCATGTTTTGAAAGACTATTTATACATATATTATAAGTCACAATGGACAATACTCCTCCCAGCCAACTTGTCGTGAACATAATGAAGCACAGTAATTGGCTACGACCAGAAAGAAAACCAAAAAAAAAGTTTTTATAATTATAAAACTTTCATTAAATTTTCGACTGCATGCGACAGCCTTCGGCAGGCTGTGGCATGCAGTCGAAAATTTAATAGTTCTAATTTAATAAGTTTTTTGTTTCTGGTCGTAGCCAATTATTGTGTTTCTGTTATATAATAATTAGGTTAATTAGCACTAAAGCTTTGGGACAATATTGTAGGGCAATATACAGAATCTTTTCTCCATCTAAAGAAAAACAGTTTTACTATACAATCTTTGTATATCATTGATAACTAAAATGGACAATCTGGTTCAGGGAATAATTATCACCATATTGGCATTTTTAAAACGAAGAAGAAGTTTTAAGAAGGATATTTGTGGAGGTCGACCTGGAATTGTTGTGTGAGTACAAATTATATAAACGATTTCTATAAACAGTACGGTACGTATCGTTTTATTCCCTGGCATGGAATAAAACGTATCTTTTTATTCTGGCATATGGCAGCATTACGTACCTTCCAGTGTGTCCCCACTTTATAATTTAATACTCTGTCAAACACATGGTAATTTTACTCCTCAATTGAAGGAAAGTCTTGTGCATTGCTCCATTAAGTTATCTAAGTACTATTTAAAAAACGAACAGGAGTGTTTTATTAGGTTTAAAGCCACGAGCGCGCAGCGCGAGTGGCCGTTTAGACCTAATAAAACACGACCTGCGAGTTTTTTAAATGGTTTCAAAAACGTTTGCATAACAAGTCAAATCTTTACATAAAAATCTTTATATAAAAATCTTTATATAAAAATCTTTATATAAAAATCTTTATATAGTTTACATAACAATGGTCTTTTGTTAAAGTGTTCTTTAGCTGGTATAAAGACGTATGCACGTGACTAATTTCTTACTCAAGATTGGATAATTGCTTCATGAATTATTGAGTTTTTGAAGTACTGTTTAATAAACGAGCATGCAGGAGTGTTTTATTAGGTTTAAAGCCACGAGCGCGCAGCGCAAGTTCGATAGATATACTGTCAAATTAGTATTCTTTTTATAAAGAATGATTAAGAACACTAATAAGGACACGACTACAATAGATACTGCCTTATTAGTATTCTTTATATAAAGAATGAGGAAAATACAAAAGAAATTAATGTTTAAGTCAATGTTTGTAAATCGCATAAAGATTTGTCCTGATTTACATAAACTTCAGCTTTGATTTTCTCGGCTTAGATAATGTTTATTTTTAAATTACTTCGCCAATGAACTCATAAGATCTGCCGTTTTACATATCCGATAAAGATTGGCTGCTCATGTTTTACCAATAGGCTTATGAATTATTAATGAGTGTTTGAATGACAATTAATGCATGCATGTCTCACAAATCTGGACAAATAAAATCATCTGGCACAAGTCTGTGTGAGTAAATGTGTAGTGTGGATGAGGTATTGGCCATACTGTAGGTTAAAAGAAATGGGTAGGTTCAGAGGTGTGTTACCACAGTGAAACTGGGGGACTCGTTTCCCCCTTCTTCCCCCACCACCCATCTCGCCCCATCACTTTCCTTTGGGGCCAGCTTTGAGAGATGCTTAAATTTGTTGAGAAATGTTGAGGGAGGAATTCACAATATGATATCCAGCTTATATGACAAATATATTAAATTCACAACACTTTGACAAACATTAGAGATAAAAGGAGGAAAATGTTTTTAAATTATATGTAAGGAAGCACATCTTATTCAATTTATAATGTCTTGATCTTGTTTGTTGTTTTTCTAAGATTATTAAGGACCATTTCTTATTCAACTATCAAATTTGATTGTATGTCTTGGCAGAGACTTCAGATTTCAAATGCCCCCAGATCCCCCTTGCAGGACCCACCCAACAATTTTTTTTATCATGTTATGCGATTGCACCCCCCCCCCCCACCCCCGCGCTTCTGGTTTCACTAGCTATGCCACATGTCTTTTAAGAACAGGCCATGCAGTGCAGATAGCATGATATAATAACCCTATTAATGCATGTTTACGGCTATTTTCCTTTGAACGACAATTAGTAAAATCGTAGGGTTGATTGGATAACTCATTCGTTGCACGGCTATTTAAATATTAAACGAACATAGCTAAATGAGACTCAGAGAGCTGCGGGTTTATTAAGGACATAATTACATCTTGTGTATAGGCCAAAGAAATAATATATATCTATTATTTCTATGGTATAGGCCTATAGATTTCCTTGCCATGGATCATGACCGCCCGGCCATCATGTGTGTGTTTGGAATTGCTACTGGCTCCATCCTGCTTCTGATTGTTGGTAACATTTCAGGACACAGCAATGCTTGGGAAAAAGGTAGGAATGAGTTTTCATTCATACCCAACGATTAGTAAGTACAACAGATAGTTAGCAGGTGTGACAAATGGTACATATATGTGCCATAACTGGTTCGCCATTAATAAGCCACCTGTTAGCGTGTGTAAGTTTGCAGGTGCCGCAAAGTGATAGCATGGCATCACGGTCGATTAGTGATGTTATTATATACATGACAAAATTACTGCAATCTGATTGGTTAAGAGGAGTGCAATTAATGATTTTCGTGATGGCTGGGGGGAGCGGGAAATCAAAACAACAAAATCCAATATGGCGGCGAAATTTAGATAAGTATTTCTAACAAATGTGGACGAATTTAACTGAATTTTGGCACAAGAGTGAGTTTAAGAAACATTGTATGGCAAAAAGAGCCTGTTGAAAATACCTGGAAACAGTCTTAAGAAATAATCTTGGCGGGATGCAGCGAAACGTGACTATGTAAGTTTGAAATACAATTTATAAAGATTTCCTTAGTCTAAAATATGTTGTTTGAGTTTGAATCTTGTGTTCTAGTTTAAGTTATGTGCCTTTATGAGTTTATAATCATTTCCCAAGTTTGTTTATACCAAATTGCTTACAAAAGAATTAAAAACTCTTGACAAAATGCAGTTGAAATATAAAGAAAGCGATTTTGTCATCAACCTCGCAAGGGAAAAACCTTGGTTACCGCTGGTCACGTGACTCCCATAAAATTGATTGTCTAAAGGGGGAGGGAAAAGTATCATATTACATGTTTCCACTTCCACACTTTACACTTTAATCGCAAAGAGCGAGTGTTCTGTACCGATCAAATCACATATTCGTCAAAATACTCTTGAATTATAAAAGAAGGCTTGTGCCAGCCCCACGGCTGTTTGGGGCCTCGACCGAATTCACTTTCACCGTCTTGCGCTGTTTTGCGAAGACCAAAGTTAGCGCATCCTAGACTGGATACTGCTCCGAACAGGTGCACATTCATCCGATACGTTACGGTGGGCTTAGTCATGTCACCTTCTTGAAACCACAAGAAATGAAGATAATCTCTGTGCTCTTCAGTTACCCTGAAGTTGTGAAACATCTGCTCCACGTCACACGTTACAGCAATTTCTTCTTGTCGAAATCTGGTAAGAATTCCTATGAGCTTATTCATCAGGTCTGGCTTTTGGAGGAGGTGTTTGTTGAGGCTTTCTCCTTCAAATGTATCGCTGCAGTCAAAGACAACCCTGATTTCATCTGGCTTCTGGTGATGATGGATTGGAAAGTGAGGGAGGTACCATGTTTGACTGGGTTGGAATTCACGTGCCCTGTCTTCAACCTTGCTTGCATGTCCCTTGGAAATGATCTTTTCCATAAATTCTGAATAATCCTTAAAACTCTTTTTCAACCACCCCCTTTCGCATCATATCACGACACAATTTTTCAAATATAAATATCTCGGCGAGTATTTACCCCCCTTTTAAATAAATACCACCATTGTAATCCTCACAAAATAACCTTTCAAACGGGGGGTCAAGTGCCGTCTGAACATTACACAAACCGAAACAATCATATATTTACTCACCGCTTGGCCAAAGATTCTAAATTTCATATACACAACATCTTGAATACCCCTTGAACTTTTCGACATTTGCTGAACGGCTATATGTGTAAAATACTCTTTGTATTCAAGCGCTTTCGTGTAGAAAGTTTCGTATGTATACGCCGACTAGAAATATTTATTTTTAATTTTTCAAGATGTCGGGTTTTACTCGCACTTGAGTACATTGCGCAATAATTGGCATATTTTGGCCAATAAGAAGCTCCTGTAGCCGGGATGACGTCAAACTCACGCGTGTAGGTGCAATTTGACCTTGCGAATCCATTTCTGGCCTTTGCAGGGTCATACGATACAAACATCGCATTGTTTTGATGGTTTTCAGTCGTATTTCCGGTTGGGATTAACTCACTTCGAGCTCACAGTCGGACAAGAAATGGAAATATATTGATAAAAGATACAGATTTAAAGATACAGGCTTGCAAGTAACACTCTAAGTAGTGTTTTTAATGGGGATTCTAACAAGACTATTACAAAGATGATACGTTCAAAGGGGCCGAAGTTATTTCGGCGAAAGGTACGGCTAGTCTATATTTTTGTTCAGACAATTGCGTAATTTGATACAATATTACCGTGTTTGACTTTCAAAGGCTGTAAATCGCTACAATGTTGATAATGACTATAACTATAGGGAGGAATTAGTTGAATCTTTTCTTTCTGAATCGAATGGTGGTATTTCTGTCTTCATAGCATGCACCGAACCGAAGATATTAAATTTCTTGCAATCATCCAGTGCTGAACGACGCGACTGGGCTGTGGTGAAAAAGAGTTTAAACAACTTTGGATCTCTCTCAAACTTTCTTTTCAGAGACATCATCCTTCTGAGACAATGTGGACGATTATCTGGTAGATGGAGGGGGGTCTTATCTCTAAAGGGCAGCGGCATTTCCCAACGCCCGTCTGTATCTTTCTTGATTCCTTCTTCAAGGATCTGTAAGAACTTGCGGTCTTCGACAGAATAGATTGTGTTGTCTTCACGCTCTGCTTTTCTTTCGGAGTAGTCAAGCTCCATCATTCGTTGCACGTCCGAGGGTGTATAAATTTCTTTTGTCGTTGCATTATCACGTATAACGATTCTATTGATCTTAAATGTCTCGTCGCTGTCGTTTCCCTCGGGGCCTTTGCATACATCACCTATTATTGTCCATCCTAGGTCATAGCGTTCTGCCCATGGTTCGTCATCTTTCCCATTTACTACTTCTCTGGGTTTCATTGCTTGCGGGACATTTCGGCCGATCAGCAAGCCTATTTCTCTTTTGCGTTGTTTTGGAATGTGTTTCGCGATGTCCTTCAGATGATCCCATTGACTAGCTGCTCTTCTTGTTGGGATATCACTGTCATCTGCTAGGAGGTCATCCCGAGACTTCCTGAGACTTCTAGGTCCCGTACACGATAACTTGCAATAAGTTGGTCTTTGCTTAAGACTGTTGAGACTTTTATATTAGTAGGGGATGCTTCGATTCCGAGTCTCTCAAACACAGATTCCTTAACAAGGACCGCAGTACTTTGGTCGTCCAGCTGGGCATAGGTGAGGACTTCTCTATCTGGGACGAATGGGTGACGAAGCCACACGAGTACAATCTTGGCATATGATTTGGTAGTCTGGTGTGAGCCACGAACTCGTGTGCATTTTGTATCCGCCTTGGGTTCACTGGGATGTCGTTGTGGATCATGCAAAGCTGTTGCGTGTCTCTGGGCACATGTCGCACATTCTGGTTTTTTCTGGTCACATTTCTTCGCGATGTGATTCGTCGTTTCTAAGCAGTTGAAACATATTCGGTTTTCTCTCAAAAATGTCTTTCGATGATCAAAGTCAAACGCAAGAAAGTCTTTACAGTCGTTAAGAGAGTGGTCCTCTTTCTGGCAGTGAAAACAGAACATCTTGCGCTGATGACTGCGGTCCTGAGATCTTTCTTCGAATGTCTCTGGGCTAAACTGGGTACTCTTGTCGTTTTTTTTCCTTGGTTTACTCGTGTACCAAAAACGCTAAAGTTCTTACTCGAATTCCTTTTGGCTGTTTGGTTGTCGAACCCTTTTCTTCGGCTCTCTTCTTGTTTTGTGGTCACGCCAAATTCGGGCATATTGGCACGTCGGGCGAGCACCTTCACTGTCTCTGCAAAACGCGAGAAGGGGGGGGGGACTTTCTTCACCGTTTATCTCTTTGTATTTCCAAACTTTCCGTTTCCATTCATTCTGTGCCCATCCAGGTAGTTTTTCTGCCAACTTAATTAGTTCTCTGGCACAATCGAAGAATTTTAGTGCGGTGTACTTATTCATGGCCGCCTGCCTCGACTTGATTCAGGAAGTCGCTAAAATGTAGAAGCTCGCGATTACTATCTCTTCCAATCTTGGGCCACTCGGTTAGCTTTTTCTCAATACTTGAGGTGAGAACGCTGGCGTTGCCATACCGGTATTACAACTCCTCTCGAGCTCGACGGTAAGCAGTATCGGCGTCGTGGTGTAAGTCCTGATAATGTTCTACCATCTTCAGTGGTTCTCCTTTCAGAAACTTGCATAGGTAATGCAACATGGTCTTGGAGTCATTGGTGTTTGAAGCCACTAGGGCGTCAAAGGATGATTCCCAACGCAGAAATTCCATTTCGTCACCTTCAAATACCTTTGGTGTAAGTTTAGGCAATCTCTGGAGGGACAGTGCTTCTAAAATAACTTTGTTACTATCATACAGCTGCCTATTTTCAGGCACTGATGTGGGGGTGTGGGGTATCTGTTCGTTACTAGGCACCAAAATCTGTTGTTGGACTGGGGCTGAACGTATGCTATTTGGTGGAGGGGTAAAAGGTGGTGCATTGTAGTTCATGGATTTATCAGGTGCTGACACATTTTGCGAAACTGGGAGGGGTGCTGGCGTTACATTATCATGAGTTATTTTATTATTCAGGTTGTTATTATTCGTGGTTGGAGATGGAAATTTATTTTTAGGGAGGGCAGGAATTTGATCTTGCTCGTTTTCGGCTTCCTCATAAACCTCTACTTCTGCTTCCGCTTCGGCTAATTGTTGCTTCATTTTCAATTTCGCTAAGTGGGCTTCATGTTTGGCTAGCAAATTTTTTTGTTCAATAATCTCCTCTTCTACAATTTTACTTCGGAGCGCGGCTACTTTCGCGCGGGCTTGCAGCTTTTTCTCTTGTATAGAAGAGGAAGTACGAACAGAGGAAGTGGTTGATTTTCTGTCTTCCGGTAATGACACCTGGTGGTTAGACCGGATGTTGTCGATTTCATATTTTGCATATTTAGAACTAACGAACCTGTCACATTGTTCCAGTCGTTCAAAACGCTTTGACACTCTGTAATATAGCTTTCACGCTGTTCGGGTTCAAGCAGTTTTAGTATTTCGTCCAAACCCCGATTAAATTATTTGACTAAAGTCTCTAGTTGTTCAATTTCGTATGTAATACTCGATCCTTCTAGAGTGCTTACTTCAGTTTTAAGCGACGATAATTTATCAACTAGACAACACTTTGTTTGTTTGAATATATTTCTCTTCAAATCTAAAATGTATTCTTTACCTTTTTGGTTTAGTTTTCTCTCTCTTAGCGTGGGTAAATAAAGCTTTCTATCTATATCTATCTATCTATCTATCTATCTATCTATCTATCTATCTATCTATCTATCTATCTATCTATCTATCTATCTATCTATCTATCTATCTATCTATCTATCTCTAGTGCTTCGACGACACTCCGTAACTTCGCTTAAACTGTCTTGATCGCTGTGTGGTTTATTTTCGTGTCCGATTTCGATCACGTTTGTAAAGTTATTCTCGTTCAAAACGGGACTACAAAACGGGTCGCCGAAACAATTTTTCCGGGAAAAATTTTTGGGTACTAGTCGGACAAAATCCCGAAAAGTCGGGCAAATTTGTTTCCGCCCCCCTAATTTTTCCTTCCGGTACGCCCATGTACACAGTTCACAGCCATAGACACAGGGGGTCCAACTAAGAGCTGTGTTATGAGTATGAATAAAACATTAATAAATCGTAATATGAATAAAACATCATAACGTAATATATTTAAATTATTGCACTTACTTGTATAAATCATAAGAGCTTGTATTTCCAGTGAATAGCTTCAAACAGGGCGCTTATATATGTTCAGAAACATTGCTTCAAACGATTGTTCAAATATGGCGAATAAATTGACAAAACGAAAATATTACATGACGTTCCAACGAAAATAACAGCAAGGATTGCGGGCGCGAGCGGAAGGCGAGGGTAATAGATATTAATAGAAGGGATGAAACACCGGTAATGCGATCGTGTGATGTGTTCCATAAGTAGCCTGTTCTCTCGGAAAATTCCAAAACGCCTCCTGCCAACTCCAACAACGCCTAAGCGCTTAATTAATGAAAATAAACAATGTTTAGCTATACCGGCTAATATGAAATGTTTAAATGTAGCGACCAACGTTTTTTTTACATTATTTAGTTTTATTATTATTTCGTCATACGTCACGAGAACAGGCTACTTATGGAACACATCTCGCGAAAATGGCCAAGAATGCTCGCTGTTATAAATCACATAAATTAGATTGATCAGTGCTTTTTTGGTAATGACTAGGCTTGTTCATGTAAGAGAACATCGACTGAGCCTTAAAAAACCCACAAAAAGCTTAAACGGATAGTCTAGAAGCATTTTAAAAAGTCACGTGATATTTGTTTCATCCCTTTTATTTATTTCTTCCCTCGCCTTTTCGCTCGCGCGCCCGCAATCTCTGCTGTTATTTTCGATGGAACGTCATGTAATATTTTCGTTTTGTCAATTTATTCGCCATATTTGAACAATCTTTCGAAGCAATGTTTCTGAACATATTAAGCGCCCTGTTTGAAGCTATTCACTGGAAATACAAGCTCTTATGATTTATACAAGTAAGTGCAATAATTTAAATATATTACGTTATGATGTTTTATTCATATTACGATTTATTAATGTTTTATTCATACTCATAACACAGCTCTTAGTTGGACCCCCTGTGCCATAGACTAAGACTTATGACGCTTCACAGCACACCATGCATATTTTGCATTTTCAGTGTTAATCCTTAAACTCATGCATTGTTAAAAAGTAATCAACGTGGTGGTTATTGCAATTATTGGTATTGTTTTGCATCCAATTTTGTCGTTATCGGAAAATGTATGGCTTACAACTGTTACAAGTTGTCACTATTTTTTACTCGCATTATTTCAATATAGTTTGTAAATTTCAGAAATTTCACTGACACTGACATGGAAAGTTGACGATTCAATGGACAATAGTCAATAGTCAATACGCTTCCCAACAAATTCCATAGATTTTTTATTAATCCTATAGTTTATTGTTAGCAAGTGATTAATGTGGCGGCTATTGTTAACACT